CACGGCCTCCACCTCTAATTCCAACGGCAATGGGCAACTGAGGTCATTTGCCACAGGGGACCCCACTCGTCAGGACAGCCAAACGACGCAAATCAAACAGAAGGCAGATAGAATGGCATGAGAGAGAAAAGTTTTTCGAGCTTGGACACTGACGATAGATCGAACTTTTTAGGGACATAGACGATTAGACCATCTTTTTAATGGCATACAAGTAAAAGACTCTAGAAAGAAATACAGGGTTCCAGATGTAAAGATACTAGAGAGAAAGAGAAAGTGGGAGGCCTTAATAGTTTTTGAAATAGATCGGGGTTTCTGATGCAAAATGTCCAAATTCGAGTGGGCTTCTTTTTCCGACTTGGGCCAAATCCTCACAGTTAGGCTGCCTTCGTTGTGGGCTGGACCAAGCCCATTCAAGCCTTTTTTCTTTTCTTTCATTTTTTCTATAAAAACAGAGATCTTGCAAAATTCACAAAAATCATAGAAAAATCAAAAAAATTCCAAACCAGTTTTGTTAGCTTCATAAAAATATGATCTATCCATAGATGTTATGAATCTTATTAGATTGTGCTTTATCTATAGGTGTATTAAATCATCCTTTCATATGTTGCATGCATATAGGTTCGGCAATGGCCAAGAACGTGCCAGAGGTAGACCCGGAATACGTGGAGGTGGCCGAGGAGTACGAGGAGGATGTCCTCATTGTCGGTGTTCCCAAAGCCTTCACTAACTTTTCGCTGTCCGGTTCCTGCCTAAGGCAAGCCCCGGTGCATAATCCCTACTTTTTAGCACTTAATATATTTGTTTGCGCATTGAGTTTTGAGGAGAAAGATTTACACCATCTGATGTAGTTTTGATAAGAAACAAAACTTATTTTTATTAAAATATGGATTAGTTAATGGTCCAACTAATTATTTCTTGAACTAAAATCTTGGCCAGATTATTGACTAATGAAATCTAAATAAATGTATTTATGTAATTCCTGACAACGACTGCCATGTGAAAAATCAAGAGATCTCTCGTCATAATCATTGTTGGACCGACCAAAACTGAGACATTGACAAAAAAGTAACGGAGGTTGATATGATGCATCAAAAAAGCAAAAGTCGATATTGAGTCATAGAAACACATGGGTAGTATGAAAAAGCTACAAAGTTATGATATATTTATATCTAAATAATTATGCGCTTTGCAACGGAAGGAGAAATATATTAAGGTGTATTTGTCGATGTTTTACCACCGATAGCCTGCCACGGGGTTACCCAGGACAGTATGTTTGGGCTTTGGCTTATGCGGAACTCGATGGTGAACACAAGAGATAGTCGATTTATCCTAGTTCGGGCCCTCGATCATTGATCGAGTAATAGCCCTACGTCCAGTCGGCGTTAGCCTCTGTGTTGTATTGATTGTGTGTTGTTGTGTTGTAGAAATCGTCCTCTCTAGGATCCTGCCCTCCTTTATATAGTCAGGAGGTCAGAATCCTAGTTAGTTTACAATGAGAGTTCTTAGTAGGATTACAGAATAATACTACTACTAAGATTACATAGGGAGAATCCTAGTTAGACTAGATCTTCTCTCTTCCTTGCGGGGTATCCTATGGGTCCCACACCAACAAGCCCCCAAGCACTTCGTGGTTGTGCTTTGGAAGCCTCGTCTTGTTCTTTTAGGTCTTGCCGAGCAGGAACAAGCATCGTCCGAGTGCTTTCTTGAGCGAAACCGTATAGCGCTCTGTGAGATCTGCGCGTGGTGTGTACCTTTTTGAAGAAAAAAGTACCAAAAAGAAGACCTCGCAGGGGGAACAATGGTAGCAAAAACATCACCACCACCCTGCGACAGGGGTGGCGTGGTCGATACTGGAACCCCAGAAGAACTCGAGCCCAATGACCGCTTGCTACAAAAAGAGCCAAGACAAAGTCAAAACAAGAAAAAAGTACTCCCTTTTGGGTGTAGCCCCCGAGCCTCTTGCTATTTGGTACAAAGAGCAGGAGGGTCTTGTCATGAAATCGCTCTGATCCTTCATTCAAATATTCCCGAGAATGTACCCGGGTTCTTTGTCAAAAAGAACTCGGATATAGCTCGGTCCGGCTTCTTTTTGTTATGAGTCCTTGAAGTAGTTTTGTCTTGAAGAAGTCTTCTTGGTGACGTGCGCTTTTTCGAAAAAAAAAGTGCACTCACTGAGTGTAGCCCCCGAGCCTATTGCTATTTAGAACAAGGAGCTGGAGGGTCTTGAATCTTATGTTGTTTGAAAATTACTGTCTTGAAAAAAGCCTTTCGAGTTATGTGCGTTTTTTGAAGAAAAAGTGCACTCACTGAGTGTAGCCCCCGAGCCTCTTGCTGTTTGGAACAAAGAATTGGAGGGTCTTGAGTCTGATTTGTTCAAGGAACTGAAATCTTCCCCTGTTGCAGCCTCTGAGTATTTATCCGGGTTCTTTGAAAAAAGAACTCGGATGCATTGTCTTGGCGTATTCTCTGGTAATCTGCCGTTTGTCAAGTGTAGTTGTATGGTGGTGGTTGAGTATAAATGTTGCCTGTTCACGGGTTGTACAGCGTTGACATATTCTTCTGAATATGCTCGTCTTCGAGTACTGTTCCTTCTCACCTGAGTCTTCTATTATTGAGTCCTGTCTTTTCACTGTGTTCTTTGTTATGCTTGTTTCGTTGGTACTCCTAGTCCATGTGCGCCGCTCCTTCGATCTATAAATACCCTCCCGGAGTGCTTGTTTTCATCCATTGAACATTTTGTTGAATATGGTAGTTTGTGAAGTAGGGCAGCCCCCGGGCGTATTTTGTAGTTCTTGTGCGTCTTGTTGTAGTTGTGCGTCTTGTCGTAGCTGGAGGAAGTCGATGTTTTACCACCAATAGCCTGCCACGGGGTTACCCGGTATAGTATGTTCGGGCTTCGGCTTATGCAGAACTCGATGGTGAACGCAAGAGACAGTCGATTTATCTTAGTTCGGGCCCTCGATCGTTAATCGAGTAATAGCCCTACGTCCAGTCGACGTTAGCCTCTGCGTTCTATTGATTATGTGTTGTTGTGTTGTAGAAGTCGTCCTCTCTAGGATCCTGTCCTCCTTTATATAGTCAGGAGGTCAAAATCCTAGTCGGTTTACAATGAGAGTTCCTAGTAGAATTACAGAATAATACTACTACTAAGATTACATGGGGAGAATCCTAGTTAGACTAGATCTTCTCTCTTCCTTGCGGGGTATCCTGTGGGTCCCGCACCGATAGTATTTTAATTCGATTCAGGTTTAATAGGATATTATTATTTATTGTCAGCATTAACTTATATTATGGATATGATGATCATCATGAAATAAATTAAAAAAAGCAAAAAACATAAGTAGATATGTACCATTCACGTTATCATTTTGCATGAATGTTTAGTAGTTTTTTTTCTCCCATTACAACGCACGAGCATATTTGTTAGTAATGCAAATAGATATAAATTCGATTATGTCTTGCATTAATTTTCATAAAAAAAAGGAAAAACAAATTTCATTTATACTCATGACTTAAGTTGGCTAATTTTGATCGACAAACTTTAAAAGAAAAAACCTTCGAAATTTTTTATCGTCTCTAAACTATTTTCTTTATCTCATCTCGAACAAAAGCTTTCTATAATGATGCATATCTATCCCTTCTACAAAATTCTAAATCTATAATTTATTTTACGGTGCAGCTAGCGCCCGGATGTCTAGCCCCAGGACGCGTCTGGAGACAGCTCCCAACCATCCGATTCCACCTACAGGAACCATCCGAGATCTCAGCTCGACCGCGTAATAGAACGGAATGGAAGCGCTATCCCCGCCCATGTAACAGAACGGAGCGCATGCTCGCATCTCCTTCCGCGTCTCCTCCACCAAAGAAATCAAAAGCAAAACCTTACGCCCTTAGATTTATAATTTTTGGGAGGTGGCCCGAGGCCCACCTTCCTTCCTCTTTGGATTGGAATATTTTTCTCGAGGAGGAAGGAGGGGAGCTGCTACTTATACCGTGGAGTATTATACTTATACCGTGGAGTATTATACAGTCGCCTCGACAAATGTATCTTCAGAGGCAGTTGTTATTACTAGCCGTCTATAAAAGTGGTGCGATTTTCAAAGACAGCCGAGAATACTAGCTGCGTATGAAGATTTATTTGTAGAGGTGGTTGGCTTTGAAGCCACCTCTATAAATACATCTTCAGAGGCAGCTTGTTTTGCCGTCCATTATAGAGGCTGCTGCTGATTGAGCCGGCTCTGCCTAAAAATAGCTTTGTTGCTGAAAATCTTTTCTATAGTAGTGATTTCGTATCTGAATTCGAATTAAAATATGGTAAAAGGTGCTATTCGAATCTGATTTCATGCGTGTTTGACCTGATTCCATCTCTATTAGACACAAACTAGGGGCTTGTTTGGAACGCAGGAATGGTATCTGTACAGAAATTTCATAGAAATCAGTTAAATTTCACATAAAAACGCAGAAACACGAAAATTTTTCTCTGTTCCCAATGGGGCCTGGTTAGTGCATGAGATTCGGTCCAGCCTTTTGACACGAGAACGCAATGAAGTGTGATTAATAACTGATCCTGCTCAATGACTCGGAAACCACAGTACATTTTTTTGGCACACCCTTTTCCACGGTGCTTGCGTATATAGCCTTAAGTGGCCGCCTCCATGTCGCTTCCTCCAGCGGTAGAGAAGGGATACACCAGCTTAAAGAAACGGAGCAATCAGGCGCTCCACTGAAGCATTGTTCCTTTTGCTTTTCTGGTCGCCTCGAGGGAGTAGCATGTTAGCACCGCACTAGCAACTGACTGCACACTCAGAAACCATGAAGGCAAAGTGCTCAGCATTATCTCCACCTTACCTTTTGCTTTCTGTTATTATATGGACAATTAGGGCGCACCAATAATCCTATGAATGGACAGTGGAGCACAGCTGAGCTATATAAATCTGGATATACACTGTTCTGATGCAGTGCTCAAGGACCCGAAGGATTAGAGAGGGAGAAGGAACAAGATGAGTTCCAAGAAAGCAAACAGGGTTTTGGTACTTGTTCTTCTGCTTATTGTTTTGCCTGCGATTTCGATCGGTATGCACCGCAGGTTGATTTCCCTGTTCAATCGATTGTTATCTTTATTTTCTATAATTTTCTTATTTTTCATTAAATTGTATGATCTACGGAAAGAGAAAAAAAATAAACTGAAGAACTCGTCAAAATATAATCAACATGTACTATTGGAAGTATGTAATATGTTTTTCAGGCATGCAAAAGCGAATGATTTGATTCATTAGTCGTCTATAATTTGCTTTTGCAGGAGGAAGGGAGTTGGCGGATGAAAAGGATCACAAGGTATGTAGTAGACTGGAGAATAGCAAAGTTCTCTCATGGAATTTCCTGAGAGCTTATATCGATCTACGAATCCATATATTATTAATTAAGTTTGAGAACGATCTTCCAAACCCAAAGGGACTCTTCTTCGACTAGAGAATAATTATATCCATTTTGTCTAATTCAGGTGCATTCCACTGCTGCCTCTGAAAAGGGAGCAACGGCTTCAGGAGATATGGTCAAGACAAATGATTATGGGCGCTACGATCCGACTCCGGCGTTTTCCAAGCCTCGCTTCAAGCTTATACCCAACTGACTCACTGCTGCTTGGCTTCTTCGTACCACGAATTGAAGGTTAAACTTATTAATTAATAGTATATATATTATATATATAGATAGATGTCATATGAGGATTGAGGTGTGATACTACATGGTTAGTATATGGATGGCACATAGAAATAGTCCTGTACAGAATGTATATAACTTGTGTAGTATCTGGCGTTGGTGCCTCTACTGAATGTACTCGGCTTCAGTTCTTAAGTATGTGTTCGGGTGTTGGATCTTTGATCCGAATGCTATAAAGTTGGTTCTTCTTTATCTAACAACACCTGGTTATTATAAGGAATCAAGGATCCTTATTTCCAATATATATGAATCTGACCTATTGGTCACAAGTTCACAACAGGGAAGATATATTGCTAAAATGCTTTTAGCTGCAGCCCGACATACCAACATGTGAAACAAACACTTGCATGAGCTAGCCTCGAAACTCTTCGGCTTCACCATCAGCAGCAGCTTCCAGTGTCATGTTTTGCGTCGACTCATGGAAAACATTAGCGCAAATGACGAGGTAGACCAGGTCGACGGCACCAAGAACCGCGAGCAGTTCATAGTAGCAGTCGTATCGGCCCTGGTTCAGGTCGTCAGAAATCCAAGGCGCACCTCCACCCTTGCTGGTGACCACGTTCACGAGCTTGACGATCGTGGTCGACATGATGCTCGCGACGCCGCCTCCGAAGAAAAGCAGCGCCAGCACGAAACTGCCCATGGACTTGGGGAGCACTGCATAGTAGAAGTGTAGAACTCGATCTGCGCGCTGGCGCCGAACGCGCCCGACAGCCCCATGAGAGCGTACTGGGGCGCCAGCCACAGGGCAGACAGGGGCGGGGTTCCATGCCTCGCCGCGGCCTCCCTCCTAGGAGTCTCCACCGCCGATGCCACCGCCATGGAGGCGACGGCCAGGAACACTCCGATGCCCATGCGTTGCTTGCGCGTGAGCACGCGCTGCCGCCCAGTGATCCTCCGGAGGACCGGGAGGATGTAGGAGTCGTAGTAGCCTGACCACACCGTGAAGGTCAGGATCTTCAAGATAGAAATTGAGCCCGCCGGTATCTGAAATCTCGTGGTACCGATCACTACCGAAAACGGACTTTACCGAGTGCAAACTGCTTTGCCAAATGTTAAAAATCGAACACTCGACAAAGACTTTCTTTACCGAGTGTCACACTCGGTAAAGAGTTCTTTGCCGAGTGCCGGACACTTAGCAAAAAAGGGCACTTGGCAAATGACTTTTTTGCCGAGTGTCAGGTTCTCAGCAAAAACGCGGCACTCGGCATAGGCTCTTCGGCATAGCGGTGTTCGGCCACGTCCTTCTTTGCCGAGTGCCTGCTGTTAGACACTCGGTAAAGATTTTTTTTTGTAAAATACTTTGCCGAGTGCCCCTGACACGGCGCTCGGCAAAGATTCAATATTTTTTTTTGAAATGTCTTTGCTGAGTGCCCACTGATTCGGCACTCGGCAAAGAGAGGAATTAAAAAATTTACTTTTTCTTTTTGAAATTCCTTTGCCGAGTGTCCCTGTGAAGGCACTCGGCAAAGAGGAAATTTAAAAAAAAATCAAAAACTCTCTTTGCCGAGCGTCTTATTCTTGTTACTCGGCAAAGACCCCCTTTGCCAAGTGCCATGCTCCGGCGCTCGGTATAGTTTTTTTTGTTTGTGGCCTCCAAATTTTTTGTGCAGCCCTTTTTAAGTACCAGGAACTCCTCGTTAGAATTTGGAGATTTTTTTGTGGCTTTTTGATATATTTAGTTACTTTATTTCGTTTACTTGAATTTTTTCGAAAAATATAAATTTGAAATGCACGTGGGACGAATAATAGAATTTAATGATTGAAAAAATAATAGTCATGTTACTGAGTGTAGTGTGAGGCCGTATCTAGGAACGGACCCGAAAGTTTGGACATCTTGTTCACGAAATGTGACCACAAACTTGCGTGCGAAGTGTTTTTAAATTCTATAAAAAGCAAACGAAGTCCGAAAATCATGAAATTTGCTTTTTATAGAATTTAAAAACACTTCGCACGCAAGTTCGCGGTCATGTTTCGTGAACAAGATGTCCGAAATTTTGGGTCTGTTCCTGGATACGGCCTCACACTACACTCAATAACATGACTATCATTTTTTGAATCATTAAATTTCATTATTCGTACCTCGTGCAGTTCAAATTTATATTTTTCGAAAAAATTCAAGTAAACAAAATCAAGTAACTAAATATATCAAAAAGCCATAAAAATTCTCCAAATTCTAACGAGGAGTTCCTGGTACTTAAAAATGGTTGCACAAAAAATTTAGAGGCCAAAAACAAAAAAAAACTTTGCCGAGCACCGGGGCATGGCACTCGGCAAAGGGGGTCTTTGCCGAGTGCCAAGAATAAGGCGCTCGGCAAAGAGGTTTTTTGAATTTTTTTAGAAATTTCCTCTTTGCCGATTGCCTTCACAGGGGCACTCGGCAAAGGAATTTAAAAAAAATCTATGCCGATGGCCGGATTGGGGCACTCGGCAAAGTTGCCTCCTTTGCCGAGTGCCTCCTTGATCCGGCGCTCGGCAAAGGGGCGGGTGGGGACACTTAAGCGACTTCGGCCGGGCAGTCCAAGCCACAGACAGCCAGCCCCTGCGCCGCCGCTCTCGGCCGTCCCCGTGCCGCCTCCCGCCAACGCCGGCCCGCCCCCGTGCCGCGCGCCGCCCTCCCCTCCCTGTGCGCCGCGCCCACCAGCCGCTGGGCCGATGCCGCGCGTCGCCCGCCATAGCCCCTCCCCGCGCCGCCCCCCGGCACCTGCCCCCGCCCCCGCCAGCCGCCGCCCCCGCGCCCGCGTGTGGCCGAGCGTGGCCAGCTCACCCACACCGGCCCGCCAACGCCGGTGGGTGGAGGAGGGGAGGAGGAGGCGAGGAGGAGGAGTAGGAGCCGACCCTGCCCCCGGCCGCGCCCCGTGGACCGCCCGCCCCGACACCACCCGTGCCCGACCCCGTTCCCGACTCCGGTGACCCCGACCCCGACCCCGACACCGCCCGCCCCTACCCTCGGCGCCCGTCAGGTATGAGCTCTCTCTTGTTGTTGTCGTGGTAGTGATAGTTGTAGTAGTATTAGTTGTAGTAGTAGTGCTAGTGGTAGTAGTTGTATTAGAAGTAGTGGTTGTAGTAGTAGAACTAGTGGTAGTAGTAGTAGTAGAACTAGTGGTAGTAGTAGCAGCGATAGTGCTAGTAGTAGTAGTAGAACTAGTGGTAGTAGTAGTAGCAGCAATAGTGGAAGTAGTAGTAGAAGTAGTGGTACTATTTGGATATATTCTTCTGCATGGATTGATATCCAAACTACATGGCTTCTCTTAAGACATATGTGCTTGTCAGCCATCGTGCCATTGTTTTTTGCAGGTTTTCGAAACCTCACCGTGTAGGGGAGGTTCTGCCGATTTTTTTTAAATGATAGTATTTTGTTTCATTTTTGTAGAGAAGAGCCCATCGGAGCCGAGTCGGAGTTCCCGTCGCCGTGTCGGTCTGCCTGCACCGCGTCGCCTTGCCACTGCACCGACCCGCCACGGCCCCACTAGCCTGACTCCGTCGCCACCCTAGGTATAACCCCTCTTTTCGTATCATGGTCGTAGATCGCGTAACCTAGTTAGGCGTCTCTCGTTCGAAAGAGATACGGTTGAAGGTATGCAGATCTTTGCATATCTATGACCGTATCTGTTTTGGATAGTATTGATGAGTTAGACAATGTTCTATCAAGAAGAGGGGCTACAAGGGAGGTTTGACATAGACTTAACCGAAGAGATAGGAATGGAAGTAGACAATGAAAGGGATGATGACGAGGACGCTGGAGACAAGGTGCGAAATCTGAAGGACATACAAATGCTTGAGCGATTACGTTTAGTCAATGACAATGAAGACAACATTTCTCCTTCGAATATTGTTGATGAGTTGGACAATGTTGATAGTGATGACGAGACCTATGATCCAGCTAATATCAATCATGAAGATTATTTCTAATACATGTAATACTATGTTTTTTGTAATTATGTTTTGTTCATTTTTTCATATATTTCTAATACATGTATTACTATATTTTTTGTAATTATGTTTTGTTCATTTTTGCACATATTTCTAATTACGTCTTGTTTTTCTTTTTTATTACAGATGATTGAACAAAGATGGCGGGCGACCGTCATAGGTCCGTGAACTCGATTTACCAAAGACCATGTCGGCTGCAAGAGGAGGCGGAGGGGGCGACGGAGGGATCGGACAGGAGGAGGAGGAGGAGGACCGCCAGCCGTAGGAGGGGGCCGTCTCCTCCCACGCCGCGTGAGGAGCTGGAGGAGGAGGTGGCTCCCATGGACGAGTCGGACGAGGAGCTGGTTCGATAGACGGACAAGGAGGAGGGGCCGCATGAGGACGACGAGTCGGAGGCGATAGGCACGGGTTCCACTTCCTCCGACTCCTCTTCGAGTGTCTACTTGCGAGGTCCCACGAGCCTCCCACAGATCCGCTTCCTCACCAACGCCCAGTGATTCGCCCGAAGGGCAAAAGTAAGTAACTTTATATGTTATCACCACTACTTCATATGATATGATGAAAAAAACTAATATTTTTTCTTAATCACTTGTGCAGGAACTGGGTGGTTGTGTCGGGTGGTAGCGCACGTCTAGTCAACGGCATCCTGGGTCTTCTATGTAGGCAACACTTCCCCGACATTGTCACGTATGCATCGAAGACAGAGCCTGCCTACTCGTTTGACCACTATGCCGTCGCCCTCGATGTGGAGTACCCCAACAAGGCAGCGCGGGTGAAGGCAGAGTTTTGGGTAAGTCTCCCTCGCACAACATTGCTCAATACGTCACATTCATTGGACTTTTCTTGAAATAATGAATGGATACATTGTTTTTGTATGCAGACTTATTACAGATGCAAGGAGGGATTTGAGGCCAGGGCGGAGCATGTGACTACCAAAGCCTGTAAAACACTTATCACCGACATGCATCACGAGGTGCGCATCCAGGCCATCGTAACCTACTACGGGTCGAAGCTTGGAGAGAGGAAAACCAAGAAAGACGCAAGAGAGATGCAGCTGACCCGGGAGCAGTACCTTGAGGTAAATGAAGAACATCAATATTGATTTGTTTTGAGATTAAGTTGGTTTAATTTGATCTTCTTATATGTCCAATACTTGATGACGTGTAGATGATTCCCTGGTGGTGCCAAGCGTATCTCGAGTGCTAGGCGATGATGGTGGAGAGGTGGTTCACGGAGGAGTACCTCAAGATGCACAGGGATGCCCAGAACTGTCGTTTGCAGATGCAAGGTCCAACACACCATCAAGGCAGCCGCAGCCTTGTCGGATACAAACAAGCATGGGTACGCAAATTCATTTATCTATTGTGATGCTCAGTTCTGCCTGATTTCTAATCATCGTGCTGTCTTTCTCACAGTCGGCGTCACATAGTGGCCAGGCTTGCTCGGACTTCTAGGCATGGTGTATGGCCTACAAGGGCAAGGCAACGTCCGACGTCTCCTTCAACCTGGAGGACCCGCCCGAGGCATACATGAACCCGAGCGTCCACTCCCGCATCAACGAGTACACTGAGGTGGCGAGGTCGCTCCATGGGCCAAACCACGATCCGAGCATCCAGGACTTCGATGGAGAGGCCGTCATGAGGGTGGGGCATGGTAAGAAGCATGGGCGGTTCTGGTTTGGTGACGGCATCATCAACACGGCCTCTACTC